GGTGCGCGAGATAGGAGAGCGGAAATTCCTACGCTATCGACTTCTTTTCCGACATGTCAGCACACGTCGTCGAACACATTTCGAACAATGACCTGATTTTCCTCTTATATCATTTTTCCTCTCATTTTTTTTAATTTTAAACCGAACTGACACAGTAAAATTGAATAATTCATAAAATATATGTCGTGTAAAAATTTACTTTTAATTTGTATTCAAAAATATTCCAAACGTTTTTCACGGTTGTGGTAAAAAATACGCGATTCTTTTTCGTTTATTTTTTTTTTGTTGAATTCTTTTTAACACAAATAATGTAGTAAATGCAATGAAATGTTTAGGTGTCAATCAATTTTTAAAACTCATTCATCGCATTCTCTACAAATATAACAATCAATTTCTTTAATACCACAATGACATTAATTAAAAACATTTCTATAATTAATATTATCACTATTAATTTGTATACTATATTTAAAACAATTATATTAAAATAATAAGAGAAACTTATTAAGGGCGTATTATAAAAGTTTACATGAACCTTTTTTACGTTTCACAAATTGAGTATATTGCTTTTCCCAAGTCTTTCAACGCTTTTTATCACCACTCCAAACTATCTAGGTAACTAAAGCTAATAATTGAACAGGTTACAAACTGTAACGTTCTACCGAAACTATTTTTTCTTGTATTTTTTTGCTACTCATTAAAAGTTACAGGCTTTATGTTTACGTTTCTTTTTGTAAAAAAAAAAGAAAAAACAGTTTTGTTCAAAAAACTTTTCTTACCATAAAAGTACATATGTAATAGAGTCATCTACAGGTTGTCACGACACAAAACGTTAACCACAATTACACAATAATAAATTGTTGTAAAAATACACAATTAATTATTTAGTTTTCGTACAAACTTACTTTTAATTGGTAATTTTTTTGTGTGTTTGGAGGTGAAACGTTAATAATCTTAAATCGGATTTACAATCCATTTCGATATTGTCGCATCTACATACAAAAAAGATATTTTAATCAATTACACATTTAAGACGTCACAAAACATTTAACACGACGATGATTACACTTTTCTAAAAAATAAATATGTTGTCAGTCTTCAAATTTTCGAGTTAGCAGGTCACCATATCACTGTGATCGTTTCACATTGATAAATAGTTTATGCAGACGTCATAAATTATGCGTATGACGCATTATGCATTTTATACCTCTTATTTTTATGCAATTAGTATAGCTCATTAGTAAACGTAAGATAGCATAGAAAGTGTTGAAGAATTTTCATAGAAAATGTTAAACAAATTTAGAAAAATTTTAATCGAGGTTTCAGCATTTTTGTTTTAAAGAGTGACATCAGAAGACAGCAGTTAATAGAAATTTAGAATAACCCCAAATTATTTGGCATGAAATTGAGGTTTTTAGTGATTTCACTTAAATGTTATCACGCATAAAAGCGTGTTTTTTTTTTGCAAAAACTAGGCACCTTCACTTAAATAGCCTACGATATAAAAAATTGATCCCCATTTTTATCGATGTAAAAATTGACAAAATCTTGTTTTTATTTTCATCATTTTCATTCTCGGCAAAACCTTTGTTAATAATTCATTCTGTACAAAATTCCGGTTGGGAAGATTAACATTTCACCTCAACAACAGCGACAAAAACGGACAACACTCACATGCAAATATCTTTGTGTTTGTATGATTCATTTTCGCGGTTTTTAAATCAACGAAAGTAATAATACTTATTTATACAGTTTACGGTACATGAAAATTTCGTTGTACAACTTCATCTAATTCTAAAATCTGAAATAAACTCCGGTACATAAATACTATTTTAGTTTTAGTCATTTCTTTTGTGTTGACTAGATTTGTTTTTTTTGTGTTAATAACTCCGGGTAGAAATAAATCAAGGTTAATTTTGAGTATTGACTATATCTAATTATAGGATTCGTTGCTCTTAATAAATTCATTTGGTTTATTTATACGACTTTTTACGGGTATTTCTTCTCTTGAATTACTTTTTAAATCTCTAAGCGCATTATCAGTGCAGATATATTGCTTTTTATTGCCTGACTCTAGAGTATCTACTAAAGAACTTTTTAAATCTTTTTTAAACATTACGTATCTTTTAACTACGTTTCTTTGGGTTTTTATTTTATAATTCATTCTGAGTTGATTTATTTACAATTAAATTTGATTCATAAATAATTTAAAATAGATTAAATAACATAAATTATCTTATAGACAATGACTAGATAAACTGTGTTATTAGTTATTACACTTATTCAAAAATAACACAAGTTTATAAAGCTTTTAGAGCTAACAGCTTAAAAGGTATCATTAACTCAGGTTTCTGCGATAAATGCTTCAGTAGTTTTCTAGGTTTTAATCAAGATAAAAGTTTTGTGGATTTCAGTATCAGATATTGATTGCATTCATTTATTAAATAGTGTTCACTTTAACTCCTCATTACGTCCTCATTCAAAGAGTTAAAAAAGGTTTTTCCTTGTTTTGCTTTAATCAGCGTGGTTAGTGGAGTATGGTTTCAAGAAACTGACCCTAAATATGTTAATTTTTAACTCCGGGGTATAATATTAACGTTTTAATTATAAAGTTTGTGAATAAGGCAATTTACCGCTTTTACCGACGATATCTCTTTGTGGAATTTGAAATCCTTGTCTTCGTATGAATTCAGGTTCGTCAGGTTTTGGTGTAATTGTCAGTCTTGTGTATGTGAATATAGACGCCCGTTTCGCGCGTTTGATGAGATTATTTTGGAGTTATCTAAATGTAGATGCAAACATCAGCGAGTCATGAATTTCACGTGACCTTATTAATTTCGTTCACATTACTGGCGACACAAGATGTCACATACATGCTTTTTTTAAATGAAAGGCTTGCAACGTTTTGATGTCCCTCTTATGTTAGATATTTTTAGTTTTATAACTACCTATTCCGTAAGAGCGAGATGCATGAACTCTCTTTAAATATACTGCAAACATGTGGTTAACTGTATCGAAATTACAAATTTATAACCAATTTATGTTAATATAAAATTCTATATTTTCAAAAATTTAAAGTATATGTGTAATATCCAACAAAGAATAAAATGTTCAAGTTAGTTTCTCCATATTTCGATTTTTGCAGATCAAACTATGGATTTGGAAGTAGGAACTGTATAGGTTTCTAGTATTGTTACGGTATCTGCTGTATTCTTAAGGTTAGTAAATAAAATAATACTCATATTTCTGAGCTGGGTCAATATTAGTACAATGAACATTATTCGATAAATCATAAGTTGTAAACTTGAATAGAACAGATTACTTTTATGGAGAATTTGGTAGCTATTTCTCCTCTGTAGTTTTAAACAGGTGATTTCATCTATTTGAGCCAATTTAGTCCCCTTGTTGTACCTTATTTGACACACATTTGGTGAGCAAAAATTTCCTTTTTAGTCTTATGGACCAGCACGAAATTTTCTCAATCACGAAAAGCCTAAAAAATGTAAGTTTAATAAATCCTCGTGCTGTATAAATCAGTTTTGGGTTGTCTAAGTAGTTGTCTAGTAAATTTTACGTACCTCTTAACGTAACCTTGTTGAGGTTTTTTTTGTAGTAAATACGTTCATTTATTATTACATTACAGTCTCGGCGGTAAGTGATTATGAAAATAAATGATAAATATTTCATGATTTTAAATAACCTGAGAATAAATTGCAATTTCAGTGTCTTTTGAAATATCATTTTATTTCAATCGTTTTATAGTCACTTCACCTATAAAAGTTTATTCTCAGACTTATGGAAGGTTTGCGCATCTTCAGTTATTTAGCTTGTGTTATGTAGCTTGGCTCTGATCTTATGATCTTCTCTTGGACCACTAGCGTGATTCCACTCTATAATAAACAGATAAAAGTTTATTATAGATTGGAGAAACGAGCGTAGAAACCTACTGGAGAAATTTTTCACGTTTTCTGTCGCACTTTTATTTGATACCTTGGTGCTGTGGTTTATTTATAAATGATTATCAGCTAGTAAAGCAAATTGTAAATTGACATGCCTCTTTTCGCCGACCTTTCAGCAGCTGGTAAAAAGGTACAGGACTTAATATGATGGCTTATAACTATGCAGAAAGACCTGCAGATTCTTAGAGCTCAGTATCTTCATAGCCTTGACAAACGACATGGATATGGCACTTGACAGGATGTATTCTTACATTTTTTAAAGGCATTTATATTGCTGCTCCTGCTTGTTTATTTGACAAACATTTCTTTCTCCACGTAGTCAGGGTTATCACAAGAATCGGCTGCATTCCACTAAAATGTTGATTTCCCACAGAATATTAGCGCGAGACCATTAATATTTCTCCTATTAATTGGATTCATTGGATGGAGTTCATATTGTGGTTTATACCGAACACTGTTCTATGCCATTATTTGTCGTACTTAAGAGTGAAATATCTTTACAATCAACAAACTACCATTTTTATAATCATTTCATAATATACTATTTTTTATGGTATAACACCTTGACCTATACTATATTTTGAAACATTTTTATTACTTATTTCGTGGAAATAAAAATATTAGTGATTTTTAGAAAACTGAAATAGGTATCTGTAATATCATTTAAAATATATTAACGTTATGTAATATAACTCTATTCTTCATCAAACACTGTAATTTAATGGTTTTGATTCTGTTTCATAATTGGTTATTAATTTGTGCCGTCATTTATTAGTGAATTAATTAATTTAGTGGATCAGCGATTATGATCAAATTGACAATTTCTGCTACTAAATTGTCAATTTGGCCATAACTATAATCTGTAATACGTTATGGGGTGTAAACCATACATTAAACGCATCAAAATTCTCAAAAAGGAGTTCTTGGAAAGCAATATACGTTTTGTTTATTACAGATTTGTGGGGAAATAATGATGAGTTGCTTATTTAACCCCTTACTTCTTTATTTACATAGGCTGACTAAGAGACGTTTTGTAGCGATATCTACATTAGTCAGTTCGTTCACCAGAATCGACAAGTATGTTAAGAGTAGATTTAACCGTACCAATGAATAATAATATTTTGGTAATATCAGCTCAATGCATAAGAAATATAAAACGCACAGCAAGGTAGGTTAGATACACAACATTTGCTGAAAGGGAGTTATTAGTAATAATAACTTTTGCTGTAAACGCTAGCGGTGAGTATATACCACACGTGATAAACTTACACATAAGAAAATGAGGTAAGTTAAGAACACCTGTATTTGTAAGTTGCATGGTACCTCATCATCTTAGTTGGATGACCTAGAATTTTTTTACTGTTTATTCAACATTTTTTAGATGCAGTAAACACAATTCTGTATTATTAAACCAACCATAGACTATATGTATATGTCATATTTATCAATTCCTGTTTTCATCTATTGTAAAAATAACGGTATAGTTCTTTTTGATTTCCCATCCAACATCTCTTACAATCTGCAACCATAGAAATTTATGATTCTGTCAAGCGGTACTACAATTTTTATGCGGATGAATAGCTTACATCATACTCATACGTACATACGTATGATGGTAGGAGTACCATTACAATCGCAACGATTTCTTAGATGAGGAAATTTTCCGTTTTGAAGCATCACATGATAACATCGGGCAGCGCTGATCGTTTGGATCAATTATTCGCATCATATAATGTAGCACAAAAATCTAGGAGATAGTGGCTAAAGTTTTATATATTTTTATTCTGCCGTAAATAACTCTATAATGTATAAGAATCGTCAATATCTCCACGGCCTTCGTCTAACAAAAGTCTTGTAATGCAACCAGTTCTTCCCAAGATAAACAGCAATCATCCAACGTCGCACGAAGCGGGATGTCAGATTTTTATGCCGTTTTCTTTTGGTAAAATATTTGGAACGATATATGCTCTTGAGTTCTTTGGGGTTGGGAAAATCGAGGTTCTGAATTGAGGATCTGTTAAACTAAACAAAACTTTAATTTTTTACTATATACATGAAGCAAACATATTAATCGAACCACAAAAACAAGAATATACAAAACAACGATAAGGTCAATGACTTATTTAGCGAAAACGATATCAGGCACATCAAAAACAAGAAGACTTCTGAGACAACTGAGATCAAAATGCTTTGGAGCGAAGTGAAGATATAAGAAAGAAAATATAGAAAATATTAACGAATGGGTACTAAACAGGAAACACGAATGGGATCAACAGAATGGCAACCACAGACTTGTGCGAGTAGCAAGAGACAAATCACCTGACGGCAGAAGAAGTGTTAAACGTCTAAAGAAAAGATATAACGACAGCATATAGACGAGAGTAAAACTGATGAGTCTATCTTAGAAGAAGGAAGAATATATTTTTTCCTATATTAGGTAGTAGACTTCCAATTACATTTCTCCATTTTTAAATCTGATCTGTGGAGTTGGATCTAAAAAATTTTACATATTCTTTTATTTTTCGCGTGTTTGAAAGTAATTTATTGCAATATACGATTACAACTTTTTTCAATCTTCTGATATCCAACGTCAGAAACTGGAGTTTATGGACGGCTGCTTCTATGTATCAGTTTTTCTATATCTTTTACTGAAAAGATAGATTAAGAATTATTTCTGGTAATTGTTACTATGCTCAACCCTGGTTTGTATGTGCGATTTTTAGTTTTTGATCTTTATATAGATATCTATTACTTAATTCAACGATTACAATTGCTTTATAATATGTGTTTTTTCTGACCTTTATGTATTTTTTTATATTACTAATTTGTAGTGATATGCTCTGTTTTCAAACTTTGTTGTTACGCCAATAACGTTGTCATCTAGAAATATTGTTGAATAAATATATAAGTCCTTTAAAGTTTTATGCCCTAATATCGGCAGTAGTTTGCCAGACGGCACCTCAGGATTTATGTTCCGCATATCGCACCTCCATGATTAATGGTTAAGACTTATTTTGACAAAATTATTAATTATTTTCCTCAAACCATCTTTTTGCAGTTAGTTTTCAACAAAAGCATAGATTGAAGCATTTATCTCGAAACCAGACTTAATAATAAAAATAGTGCTGATATTTCATATTCATTTAAAGGAGTACCTTCTTTCTCATGTATCCAAATGTTGACCTATATTTCATAAACTTGTGTTATAGCAGTCTAATAACTGACTAATGACTATCTAAATGACTATCTTAAAATAAATAAGAAATCATTTAAATAAATAAATACATATTTAAAGTGTTAAGAGGATTCAATTAAATATATAAGTATGCGGTAATCTGAAATTACAGGTACACAGTCCATCTGATTCCTTACATGAATTTGAGAAGTTAATTTATTTAAACATGTCATCAAAAATCATCCCACAAAAAGTTACAATTTTTTAAAGGTCCACTCTAAAATCTAATTTTATCATAGTTCATTTTCTAACTGAAACAACAAGAGGTTATAACGTTTTGGGAAAGACTTTATGAATTACGTTTATATAAACTTTTCTTTTCAAAATAATCCAAGAAATAAGGTTACACCGTTTGTACTTATAATTTTAAGAATTACTCTGTAAAATTATTTAAAACACAGCTTTTTTGACTAGAAAAATATACTGGTGTTCTTTGAAGTTGAGATCCATAAAGTAATATTAGAAATAATTTTTTAATAAAACTTAATCCAAAAATTTTTCATCCCCTAAATTTTAATTTGAAATTTATAATAAATCCTAATTGATGATAACCTCGGGTTCATCTGGTTCTTTCTCATCACAACTTCCATTCTGACACGTGGCCTCCTGATGTTTATTCAAGTATGACTTAAGCGCAAACGTCTTTTTGCAAAAGTTGCACTTGTAGTTCTTGTCGGATGAATGCGTTTGCATGTGAGCTCGCAAATTGGAACGATCAGCGAACGCCTTGCCGCAATGGGCGCATCCGTAGGGCTTTTCCCCAGTGTGCGATCTTAGATGACCCTGGAGCAACCACGGTCTGCTGAACTGTTTGCCGCAGATGCCGCAACTATGGTTCAGTTTATGGGTGAGCACGTGCATCGCCAACGCTGGCATACTAACGTACGCTTTGCCGCAGGTCATACATTTTTTCGCGGAATGGGAATCTAACGATCGATGAGTCTGTTTGTGACGCGATAAGTTACTTGATGTTGCATATTTTTTACCGCAAACTGTACAGGTAAATCGAGTTTTTCCATCGGTTTCTTCGGTTGGTGAAATTGCGGTACGATCATCTTCAACTACTGAGTAGAACTTCTGAAAACAAGTTTTGTTCTTTCACGGATTTCAAAGCAATTATTGTTTATAGCTTTAATGTTCTAAAATTTATTAGTAATGTACTTTATCTAATATACTCTATCTGTATATCGACATTAAATGCTCTAACAACAAAAAACTTACCGTTTTAATTTTCTTTAACATAGCTTCAACTTCAAAATTACTACTATTAGAATTTTCATCTTGTTTTTGATTTTTCTTTTTCTTTTTATGTATTGTTTTACATCTCCTTTCATTTTTCGACGAATCTCTCAACCTTTCCGATGTTTCATCAACCGGAACTGTCATTAAAATTGGATTATCAGTTTGCGTTTCGATTTCGCAAGTTCTTTTCTCAGGTTCTGGTGATAGAGGTAATATAATAATATCTTCGGTTGTGGTTGCCATCGATTTCATTTCAATCGGCGCTGTTTCGGCGATAAATAACGGATCATCGCTATCCATAGAACAATCTGATGATGGTGGAGTCGGCTCGTTGGTGTTCGGAAGTTGAACTACGTATAGGATATGTGGTAATGTTATTGTAGATGACAAAGGTGAATTGACTGATGTTGTTATTGGAGTTGTTGAAATATTTTTAATGTATGAAGGTTTGGACGTTTCTGGCGATAAAGGTCGGTAATTTGATGTTGGTGATGGTGGATGGTCATTTATAACTGGTACAGTTACGACTCCTGGCGCTTGAAGAGGTGGTAAACTTTGTGATAACGACAGAAGATCATGTGCTGCTTCCGTTTCTTCGGCACTACGAGTTCTTGTAAATAACGAAACATCCGAGTTTTGATTTACTGTATCTTGTTCTGATTTTAATTGATTGTTTTCTTCTGTTTCCGGTAGATCTGGAATTAAACAAAAATAAAGAAGTTTAACTGATTGGGCAGCGAAACTTTATCTTATTAGTAATCTCTACTTCGATATTGGGTTGATAACGAGAAACTAAAGTTCTAAAATTAGCGATCGATTAAACGACAACCAGTGGCGGCGATGGTGGTAGTAAATGCCCCAGAAACACATCACCGGCGGCGATCAACAATTGCTAAAGCCAAATGCTACAACGCAACACGGCGGCAGAGTTGGAAAGTTGGCTCCGCTCGATAGGATGAGCACAACAAGAAACTAAATTGAACGGAAATTTCGCAATGCCTTTAATCGAGCAAAGGGCCAAATGCCATTGGTTTGCCGAGAAGGGAGATCCGCGTTCCGATTCTAAAGTCATTACATTCTTTTTCAACCTCATTTTATTACAATAACTATTTTTTTACTAACGAAGTTTCATTCTGAAAATGTGAAAGGAAAAACATTCACCTTAACATATATTATATTTATTTTTCGTATATTTCGTTTGACAGAACCATAGCTCACGTATTTTAGAACGTGTTTTCATCGTATTTGTGAAAACAATACGAAGTTGTTATCTTGATTTTGTTACGAACACAGATCAAACAGGTAGTGTACGCAGAGCATCCACCTTTAAGGAAAAAGTATTAAGCACAATATTCAAGAAATTCTAATGTTGTATAAGTACATTGCAAATATATGTCTCCTTATTACGTACTATGTAATAAATATCGATTTGTAAGTACGTAATAGGTAATAAATATCAATTTGTACATAATAAATATATATTATATACAGTAAATATTTCGTATACATGTTTCTAACACCTAACAAGGGACAGAATTCCAAGAAACACAATATCAAATATAACGGATCAAAGTTATTCAACTGTATACAATATCCTAGTGCAGTTACCTATAAAATTAACTATTTGTGGTTGAGATTAATTTTATTATGCAATGCCGTTATATTAATTCTTTTCTTTAGTGTTAGATAGTAAGAATAAAAAATATTAAGTAAGAGTAAATAGTGATGATCGAAGTATTTGTAATCAAAGGAGACATAGATAACGTTGTTAAAATTCCAAGGTGATGTTAAATATTTCCATTCAACGATACTGGAATAATTTATAATAACAGTATTACAGCAACAAACAAATTGACTCCATTTGGAGTATGCCAAAGAATTAGAAAGAAGGATTATGATAAATAACAAGTAAAGGAGAATTGTGGTCGCGTTCCTTGTTTCACCTTTCAGAAACTTTATAAATATGCATGAGTGCGCAAGAAAGATGTAGCATATGGATGGTACACAGAGTCGAGTGTTGTGGCAGCAATTTTTAAATCTGTAATGGAAGGGACACAGAAGGATGTTATTGAACAAATCGATATGTCCACTGCGAAACATGTGGAAGAGAATTAGAAGAAATTCCTTCCTATCGTTTCAATAATAATACTTTGTAGAATATATGGTGTCGTTGTTTGCAGGAAGGATTCTTTGTCAGAAATGTGTTGCAAGATAATTTTTGATTCTGTCCGGTACCATAAACTATACTTCAATTCAAAATGAGCTGATATCGGCAGCCAAAATCTAAGAAAACAAATAGTTGGTGAAATGGTTTTTCTATTTGGGATGACGAAATGCCTGACATATCAGGAAAAGGGTAGTTATCCATCGATATTCGGTACGTTGACCAAAACTATGCGATCAAAGAAGAACTCTAATATCAACCATTAGAAAAGTTTTATGCTTGAACGATAAGTGTCGCGAACCTAAACTTGGTGTGTTTAGGTTTTATTTAATTTGCGAATGGACTTGGAAAATCTAATAAGTTTTGGGTTTGATGGATATGTAATAGGGGTTGGAAAAAAAAACGGGTATGTAACAAAAAATTAAAATGAAGAATCTCAAGGCAAACCCCTTAACGCTAGTCTGACTCAGGCATTCAAAAAAGTTAGGTTGGATTGGGTTCACCTTTTTGTGGCGATCTTATGGTCTTCTTATGAATCCAAAATGTAGAACGCTGCTACAAGAGCGACAGCTCATTACGTGACATATTAGCAGTCAAAAAATAGTATAGTTCGAGCAGAGAGCCTGTCATCAATGCTCATCAAGATGATAGCATGAATTTTCTTTACTTTGAGAAGCACATAGGAACTATTGCAGCAACTTAAAAAGCAGGGATATATTAGATTCTTTTACATCAACAATAACAAGTTGGTTCGGTCATGTATTGACCATCTTCACAGAAGAGAGAAAAAAACATTGCAAAAATACGATGAAAGCTTCTTAAATTAATTTCAAGTAATTTTTCATACAGAAGATACTCCTTATGCCTCAGAACATATTTCACATACGGGTCTCGCTACGTTTATAATTTCAAATTGAAAGAATAGCTATTGTTTTGGTGTATTCTAAATGAATAAAACAACTTATGGTAGGTAAAAAAGAAGAAAAATTATATTGAACAGTTTTAACTAATGCTCAATTTATATCGAGAAAACAGAATGATCAGCGTCCTTTTCATTTCCTCCTATTTTGGTGCCTTTGTAAACGGTGTTGTTGGTCGACCGGGAATTATTCGCCCGATTTCTTTCCAATCGGCTGCATAATCCCCGGCAATTTATACACATAAGAAACGCCGGGGGTCACGTGACCACCAACCCCCGGACCGAAACGGAAACGCGCGACGGGTAAGGGCGGAAATGCTGGTAGCTTCTTTCATCTTAGCAAAGGAGTGGGAATCCTTTGATGTCCTGGTTTAATTCGTTTTTTTCCTTGTGTTCGAAACGACTCGCCGTCCGTGAACGCTTGAAGACTATTAGACAGATTTGTCTTTTTCTTCGTTAAAAAGAAAACTTTTGTGTGTTTATTTTTTTAATTAACGTAAATATTTTTAAAGAACATAAAACACTAATTTTTGGAACTGTTTCGTTTTGTATAAACATCATGAAATATTTGAAAGAATCGATTTCATCGTCCGATCATTGCAGGAACTGTCAGAACGATTGTCGATTATGATTAGTAAGCAAAAATTTCCCAGGCAAGACCAGTCCGGACATGGAATCGATGGCGATAGCTGCACTACATAAATCAAAATGCGTACTAAAAGAGCTTTTGGTTGACAATGAGGGCGCTGTTTAATTTCCTATTTGTAAATACCGTCGTGAATATTTGATGACAACGCCTCCTTTTCACTTCAACGTCGGCCACTAAGTAGGTAATTTTCCGGAGTAGAGCAATAAGTGCAAAAAGCGAAAAAGACTTTTACGTTAATAGGGATATTAGAAAAAGGACACCGAAACGTTATTAAACTTTTTTAGTACAAGGAAGAAAGCGATTTCCCCAAGGACGAAATTTTGTTTTGATGATAGAATAGTACTTAACTTTTAATATATTATTAATAAATAAAGCAAAAATAAACAACCAAGACTTGTAATCAAAGCGAAAAAAATATAAAAGCTGTAAACGTGAATGTATAAACGTGTGCGAAAGTTTCTGGTCGTCGATTTCAACCGGTGTCTAGTGAAATATTCACATGGCAATTCCCACAGTACGAAATTTTTTTCAGTTCTGTGGTCGTTTCAGGTGGATGGTAGGACCTCAGCCGGGTAAATAAAACGTAATTGAAATTTTATGCAATTACTCTCTTCGTATGGACTGTAGAATGGTCCGGTAATTTTTCGCGTCCCTTATTTACTAGGCCGTTTGCAAAATTTATTGCTCGAAAATTTGGTGGAAGCGCTGCATACTCTATCTTTGTTACCGTACTTTTATTAGATTTTCACAGAATAGTAGCGGAATACCGATCGAAATTAAGCACACCAGTTCACCGGTTACATACATTAACGCACATGTTTCAATTTCATCGATACCGTTTTCGAAGCAAAATTATTAATGAAAACGTGGAATTAGTAATTACCCCTTGGTAATATTATATTATAAAATTAATTACAGGCAGTGTAATAGCAATTTTTAACGCATGACGCACCACGTCGCCAGTTTTAACATCAGCAAAAACTGTTCTCGGGTAAAGTTTATTTCTATTTTTATTGAAAGTCATTTGCATATTCATGAGTCTTTTATGTGAATCATACTTATACTATTGCCTGGACTCATGACGGTAATAACAAAATCGATCTTTTCGACGACATTGAAGTTTCTTGGAAGCATATCAGTTACTAATCTACTTTAAAAATAGGTTCATTGTACTATTTTATTTTATGAATTATTCATTTTCTTTTTAAATTCACTTTTAACTTTCATACTTTTTAGCACAAACTTATGACCAATTATGTAAGCATATGTTTATTTTCCTATGAATACTTTTAGATTCTTTTATAAGGTAATTTATAAAACACCTACTTAAATAGCTCCTGGTGACATATTGATCCTGACATACGCAACATTTTATCACGTACCATTACCAGACCACCCTATTACTCTTTAAAAGGGTTTTTATTATAGCAGAGCGTGCTCGAATCAATGCTACGGTAACAGTATTTACACTCTTTTTTCATTGTGAAAGTAAACGGTTTTTGAGACGAAAAACGTTTTTATGGGTCATTATTTGCGTTTGACAACATTGTTAGTAATGCGACTATTACGTGCAAACGACATTTTTATTACATTTTTATTATTAACTTAAAAAATAATGGAAAGAAATTTTTAATTTCTACATAAGTAATGATATTATTTTTTTCTAATCTGATTGATGGATCTAATAGGATAATGGCAACGTTAACCCAACCACTAAAATCGATTATCTAGAAAGAATTTTTATAGTTCCCTAAAAGGTAGTGGTAAACTTTTGCCTTTGACGGCTAAAGCTATGTCCTTGGAACAATTACAATATATCTCGAAACAACATATTGCATAATAAAGACACCGGTTCGCAGGAAACTGTTATTAGCACCCGGACCAATGTCATCTTACATAGGTGCAAGTAAATAAAGCTTTATACAATAATTAAGTGAAATTTTTGGTGTAGGTTGTTATAAAT